AGATATGTGTAGTGATGATGAGGATGCCTGGAGGATGCCTGTAGTAGCCTAGCCTCCTACTACTGTTGCTTCTCCCTGTCAAAGCAAACAATGTCCAGGTCAGGGTAGCAGCCGCCATAGGTCAGCTCCCAGATGGAGGCTGTAAACAGGGCATGGGAACTGTCAGGAGTCCTGCTTGCACCCTATCATGACTAACCAGCAGCACTCATGGAAATCCCCCAGAAGTTCAATTCTAGGATCATAAAACTGAAAAGAATTGTTAATTGAGAAAAGTGCATTCCACATTTATACTAGTTTTTCCTCCATTTTTGTCACGGGAAGTCAAAATATCTTTCCTTTTGTTTTGATATCTTCAAAGTTCCAATTTTGTTTTGATATCAAATTTTCAGTTCTCGTTTCATCCCAAATGTGATGTGTTGAGGATATGGTACATTCTTTTCTCTAAAACTTCTGATGTCTAAACACTTTAAATAAGATTCTCACAGTATTTTGTTCTATTTTTTATCAATTCTGTGGAAAACAGTCAGATTCATCCTTCCAGTATAAGTGCTTGTAATGGCCTACACAATACTGTACTTCTCTTTAACAGTCTGACTTCTCTTTACATATTTCCTCCCAAGAAACCAATTTTGAAAGTATTTAGTTTTTTGTAGCTGCCAACCATACAATGAATTTCCATTATAGAGCTGTTACGAGGAAGTGAGTGATTTACAGGAAGAGTTGGTCCTCTCTCGATACAATGCCTGGACCTGTTAACAGCCCATACAGCCATGCTTACCACTGGTCCTCAATGAATCAGTTGAGACATTTTCAAAGTGAACAGTCAATGGGGCATGCTCTAATTTTACCTTTTATGTATGACGCTGTAAGGACTTGTACAATGTTTTATAAGTGAAACTCTGTTAGATTTACACCCATGATTGAATCCTCCCATGTGTGCCCTTCAACTCTCAGTGTTTTCTCACAAAACAACCTTCAGAAATCAAGCAAAATGGAAATCTTTATCCTTTCACAATGAATCAGTCACTCATACATCAGATTTTATGAATGAAAGCTCTTCATCTTAATTCAACCACAAATAACAGGGTATCATTGCTGTATCTACCACCAGCCTAACAGCCACCGACAGGCACTGACCCATTGACTCCAAAACCGCAGAGTATCAAGTCCTCCCAACCACAGACCAGGCCAATCCACCACTCAGTTCCAGGTTTGTACCCAATAAACCAAAGTAATGGCAAGTTCTACAAGTAAAGTGCACTCTGATTTCATCCTCCATGACAGAGAGTGGTATGGATGTGCCAGCTCCTGGTCTGGACCAGTGTATCACGGACACACCCAACACTGATATAACCTAGTAAAGGAGTCATGGTCTTTGATTATTATTTTATACTGCAAACTTTGAAAACAAAATTTCTCAAACTGCCAGAAGTACATGAAGAAATGAAACAATATACAAACTCCTTGGGAGAGGAATTACATAAACTCTGCCTGATTCTCAATCCTTTTCTTTTTTTAATAAAAACATGTTTAAAACAATATGTTAATTAATAAAAAAAAAAAAAAGTCAACTATAAAACAAGTCATAGCATTTTTAGGGTATCTAGTAATATCCTGTTTTAAATTTACACAAATGAAAATTATAATCACTTCATTTTCCAAAATCTCCAGGTACAATTGTATGCTTCTAACAATTTTTAAGACCTGGACCTGGAAATTCCCCTTGGTTGTACTGTGACCTGTAATCAGCTTAAAGTGAAAAGGATTGAAGCTGAATCGATGAACATTTACTTACAACCCTAGTCAACACTTTAAACAAGACAGGGAATCAAAGATGTTGTCAGATTTAGAAATCTTAGTTACTATGGTTATTTTGTTGATTTCAGTCCTACAATCAGTCATGGAATACCCTTTCCTGAAAATACAAACTCCTTTCTTCAAAACACAAACAAGCTACTATTGAATTGGGGGGAATGTGTTACTATGTGCATTTTTGAATCCTTCTTTGACATATCTATCACTGTAATACAGAGACCTGTCTTAGCTTACGATTTCTCAAAATAACGATCACCCTTGGAATTAAGAGTTCCCTTCAACAATGATACATGTCATTTCACCTCAAATTGTTTTTATTGCTTTTTGGATAGGGTCTATCATGGCTGATAATTATCAAAAGCAAAAAGGTGAATAATATGACCACGGTATGCAATACACTATAATGCATCAAATTCTTCATAATTCTATCAACTAAGAATGTTACTGATGTTTTTCTGAAAAACAATGTAAATGACCATAGCTAATATATTGTATTTCTATTCATCCAGGGTATTGCCCAGTAACCTGACCTGCATGTCCTATAAAAAGACAAACTTTGCTAGATGATCCTCTCTTTTTGTTGGCATACGAGATTGGGTATATCACACAGTATCAAATACAGTGTAGAATGTATAAATAATCTGAAAGTAGACTCTCCAAACTAAGATTTAGTAGGCGACATAAAACTTGACAATGGGTATGTGGAGGGTACTTGTATGTCTGGGTGTATAATCTCTGATGTATATATGTCAACCATATATATATATATTGGTAAAGGAAGGCAGAAGACAAGTTAACAAACCATTTTTTTTATAATTGATTAAGAAAGCTTTACCATTTTAAATGTTACAGCTCATAAATTGTGTCCAAATTTTATTTAAAAACAGCAATTTTAAGTTTAAAGGTACTTTTTTGTTTGTCGGTGCCAGATTACAGGTTCTTCAATACCAAGCAGAAACTTAAGGGTCTCACAAATATTTCAATAGCTGGATACCTGGTGGGTTTTGTCATGTAACCATAGTAATCCTGTTGAAATATCGGTGACTAAAAACATGATTTTATGAAAATACACTAGACTACCATGTATTTAGTTTTCATATGTACCAGGTTTAAAAGTGAACAAGACTTACTAAAGATTGGTGGTTTCTCTGTATCAGAAATGAGCAGGGTTGTACAATTCCAATAACCTGACACATGGGGCTGTGGGCTTTTAAGTTGGGGCTAGTGAAAATGTTCATTGTCCACTATCAAAATATAGGTAAGGTCTGGCTTAGAAATTTTCTTAATTAATCTGTGGGCTGATATATTCTGAATATAAAATTGTACACCCCTAAATAGGATAGAATACATTGATATTATTTTTGTAATAACATATAGCCTGCCCTAGATTCACATAAAAGTATACAGAATACTTCATGTTTGGACCCAGAGATATACAAACAGCAAGCCCTAGATTCACATAAAAGGATACAGAATACTTCATGTTTGGACCCAGAGATATACAAACAGCAAGTACTCTCTCCAAATGTTTTGTACTAGGTACATTTTGATGGATTAGGAATCTGAAACTCTGAACCACACACATTTATCTTGCCTTGCTCTTATCATATGTATACACTAGTGTACGTACATGTGTATGTAAAGCTCCTCTCCGATAGAATTCTGTCTGACAAGGAAACCAGGGACTAGCTGGTGCTAATAGAGATCCTGCTATCAGATGGGAGTGTCAGATCTCAAATCCTCCTCCAGATTATAAGCAGTGATTAAAGCCCCATTACACACACAGCAACCCTAATCCTCACTTTGTTGTTTGTCCAGCCATTTCTCATCACCTCAACAGCATGCTTCATACAAGTTTACTTCTCAAACATGCAAGTACAGCATATTTTGTAATAATTATGTTTAGTTCCCTGCTGAAGCGTGTAGGCTAGCAGGGTTAATTCCTCCAGAGTAGAGCTTTTCATTTCCCTTCAACTTTTTATATATGGAAAAGCCTTAGGCCAAAAATATATTATGTCTGTTTAGGATTCCCGATTGACCCTAGCTTTTTACCCCCGACCCAAAAATTTTTGATGAAAAAAAAACCCAACTAACTTTTGTTTTTTAAAAAAATGATTTTTGAACGTTCGTTGCCTTTAAAAATGACTTCCAACTCCGTGTTGGCGCTAAATGTCATCATATGGAGCACAATTTGCCTCCAAATGAACCTTGTTTATGTAATTCTTTGTAGGGTCATAATCACATGATTTTTTGGCCTTATAAATAAATTCTGATAGAAATAAGATGTAACCAATTTTTTTTTAAATCTACTTGAGAGGAAAGCCCACATTGAAATTTGAATGCAAAATCTTTACCACTGCTGGTTTTGCAGTCAATAAGAAATTATGTAAGTTCAAATTCACTGTTACATAACTATACAATTTTTTCTAAAACAAGGCCCAAGTCTTATAACTGAGGGGAATATATCTACATACCGTACATGTATGGAAACACCCATGATAGCATTATACACAGGTTTTGAGCTTTATTGAAGTAATTTTAATTAGTTTGATGTTTTGAAGGTTTTTTTAGTTCCAACTAAAATTTAATGTAGAGCTAAAAAATTATATAACTTCAAAGTGAACTGAGTAAAGGACAAAATCAGTAGTTCTGCAGACCTGAAATACTTTATATTTGGACCACAGTTCTTGTGACACAATTCTATAAAAGCTATTTATATGCAGTAGCTGCCATCCCTAGCTACCAATTCAAGCAGAAACACATGTACAGTGTATCACAAAACCAGCCACCAGTTTTTATCTGAACTTAATCAAGCAGTCCGGGTTAAACTGGTCTCCTAATCTGTCTCAGGTTACTGACAGATCATCTGTGGTTAAGATTACAAATTTTGTATTGAATTAAAAGTTCAGGCATGTCTTGTTCTTGTCTTCATTAATATCTGGGTGGTCAAACTGGCTCTCAGAAATGTTCACCCAACTTATGAAGGAACAAATACATAATCCATGTTCTATGAATACTAATCATAGACATATATTGAGAAATATTAAACCAATAAATTTTATTTTATGTGATCTGATAATTTTTTTCTTTTCTTCCATGAACGGACGAATTAAGGCTCCATTAGGTTGGAGCGATAACTATCTGTGTACATGTATTTGATTTCTGTACAAGGCATTAGTACTTACCATTTAAAACTGAAATTAATAAAAGAAGTCCAAATATATTATGTTCCATGATGATACGTTTTGTCTACAGGATTCTTCTTCAGTGAGTTTCTTGATGTATATCCATAAAACTGATCTGAATGAATGTCTTCTGCTTTGATCCTTTAGTAGTAAAATCTGATGTTTGCACAATACAGGTTAAAGGTTAAACTCATCCCTGTTTAGACACTGAAGGCTTAAACCGGTGTTCCTGTCCAAATCCAAACTTTCTTCTGAGAATCAGTCCATAGTCATCAGAGTTCTGGGCCTGCCAGTTGTTATCCAGATGAAGCCAGCCAGCAAAAGCTGATCTAAAATGTATTAGAAAGGCAATGTTAATTTTATCTCAATTACTAACTAGTAACATACATGTAAACTTTATGCCTAATATATTCGAATGACGAAATCCAATCAGATATGAATCGCTGAATTATTGCCAAGTCTTCAAGTAAAAATAGCATTAAAAAAAACGAGCTTATGTACCCTTAGATTGTCTGTATGTTGAATACACAGCCGAATATACAGGCCGGCAATGCTACACACTTACCATAAAACAAGGTAAATGTGTATGATTTTTTATGACACACGGAGTGATATAGAAGCATGCAAATTTAGTATAAGGACCAACAATCATATAATACAACGCGAAACACACTGCGAACACTTACATGACATTGTTATCAGGGTTTTCACATTAATGCCTACAGTAGACTCAAGTCAAGAGCGATAAAAAAAGTTCTGAAAGTTTCGCTGAATGTAAATAATAAGAAAACCATAAACCGAAGTTCTATTTATGGCAAATCGGGACTTACAATAATGATCAGGACATTATCTGATCAATGAAAAGAAATATTGTGAAAAAGTAACTGAATCCAAGTTTCTGCTTACCTTCGCGAGCACAGGCACTCTAACCATTCATTCACTAACAGATCAAGTTTCACACACAGTGATCTCCTCAGAAACCGGAAGTACACATTCTTAATCTGAAAGGTTGGACAAAACAATGTATTCTAAAGACAATAATTATTGATTTATCATCTTACTTATTTGGAAAATTATAACTCTACGAAGCGACATGATATATTAACATTATCACAAGAGACACTAATTATAATTCTTTTAAACCATTTTATTGTAAAGTTTTTGAAGGGAGTGTGTATATTATCAAGAACAGCCTATACTCTCTACGCCAAACAGAAAAACTGATAAAACCTACGAATTTCCATTCAAAGTTTAATAAACAAGACGTTATACAATTCAAAATTTAAGAATAATTTTGTTTAAACCGACTATTAATCTATATTGCTTATCATGTAAAAAAAGCTCTTATTTTGTGATTCGGATATGAGATTATTAGCAGGTTTGACACCGAAATCAAAACGTGAGAAGGGATACTATACACAAGAAAACAGCTGCTCCTGAAGTCGGTGTTACAGAATGGTTGGTATATTTAAAGTTTAATATCAAATGTAATTTCCTTCCTACATATTGTTCATTTTGTTAGGAATTACTTTACTCTGTACCGTTTATTATATAAAGTTGAAGTTTTACCGGTTGCATAAATTGTGTAACGACTGTGATCAATGGGAGGTAACTCTAATTAAACAACCTCAAATTGCATCAGTAAAGGTCAAACTTAAAACAAGAAATTTAATTATATATAGCAATGATATAATTACAATATTCATTCTATTGGTCATTTCGTAGAGGATTGGTTATTAAATATGGAAAGGCTGTTGTGAAAAGGTTATCAAGTAAAGAGGTCCAGTACACCCGGACTCTGCCGATTTAGCTATACACACCTATAAATGTATAGCTGTATTGAGCTTTATATTCTCAGATTCCAATTTTCATTAAATTAAAGCAAAGTCACATCAAACAATAAGGTTTTTGGTAATGTTGACTACAAAAAGCATACTGTACAGTTAGATGTTTATGTAAGTATGTAAGATTTCCAATTTTTTACATCATTATTGTTTTTAAAAGAATACTTATATTTAATGTCTTTTGTTATCGACCTAATGATACAATCTTCTTTTAAAAGCGACTTTGTTTTGATTTCCTTAAAAATGAAAATTACTTGAAAATAGCTCAAAAAACATTTCAGATAGATCAATTATTCAATAGAACTTTTATAGGTCTTTACAGCTATATATCTCAATCTGCAGAGTGTACTAGACCTGCTTAGGTAAGTTCGTCAGTTCTATTTACACTGTCATACAGGTGCAGAATCAGAATGGTGAAGAAGTTAATACTTGATGTTTTATTTACTCCAAGTTAAACATGCACAGTATCTTCTACATGTTAACTCTCCTCCTATAACATAAGAGGCTGCTGGTCGGCCTTTTTTCTATCGGATGTGATTTTGCCAAAAGCATCTGGCCGTGTAAACCTGTAACACTGTTGGAGAACTGTTATTATCCTCTGTGGCATTACAGGTAAACTCAGGTGTCAATCATCTATTATTTCTTAAATGTCTGTATCACTCACAATACGCTGCCTCTGAACCGTGCAGTAGTACTACAGGTACAGTAACTGAGACCTGTGTCAATATTTTACCAGTAGAGTGGCCCCCCTGTAGAGTATCAGAGTATCACCGAGTCAGTGTCAGTTTTATATGTTATTTCCAAGTTTTAATAGGTGGATAATAGTTAACTCGGTACTTGACTGTATAAACACCCCAGGATCACTTGCAATTACTTAATTAAATAACAAGCCTCAGTATCTTTACAATTTGTTTAATTTATTAAGGTAAGCATGTCAACATTTTACAGCAATTGAACAAGTACACTGCACATACAAAGTGATTATTCATGAAAAAAATAGACTTTTACTTTCGGAAGATCTTCTTGGTGATAACCTCTTTTTGGAGGCACAATATTCAGAAAATTTGGTTGAATAATTGTCAAATTCAGAAAATTAAAAACAAAATGCTCCATTTTCAATAATAATCATGTCATTGTTCTTTCTTTTGTAGTTATGTATACATGTATACCAATGAATATACTATACACGTTTTAAATAACAATTCTGCAAGTTGAAGATATCAATATTTCCTTCATTTTGCATGAAGAAAATACATTTGGTCAAAATTTATTTCGTATGGAACAGTTTTAGCTTTAAAGCAAGTTTGTAATATTAATTGTTTAGAATAGATTACCTCCCTTCCACTGTTTACAAGCCATAACACTACTAGAAAAATAAATTGTCATGAAAAAGTAGAAATTGTGGTAATTAATTTAGTACCTTGTTATCTGGCAGGTTAGCTATTAGCTGCATGCATAAACACCTGACTATTTCACTCATCGTCACCAAACACTCCTTATATTACAAGTTTACATATCTTGGAAAGGCCTTGTGTTGTATACTGAAATCATGTCTCTTGTCCACTACATGGAGATACATAATCGCTTTGATGATGTTTCATACCTATGTTTGGAGGCTAATATCATTGCTGATTCACCTACATTCATTAACCTGCAATCTGTAAGTATTTTAGAAAAAGTGTATTTTTATGCCATGGTGCGGCGTCTGTGTGTCCGGCCTCAACTTTTTACTTTAAAAAACATCTTGTCAGTAACCAAAAGGCCTAGGGTGATGATATTTGGCTAGTAACATGCTGGGATGAAAGGCTACCAAGTTTGTTCAAATGAATGACCTTGACATATATTCAAGGTCACAGGAGTCAAATATGATTAAAACCTTTACACAACTTCTAATTAAACAGGAGGCTTAGGGTGATGATACAGTAACAAACTCTGATGAAGGGATACCAAGTTTGTTCAAATGAATGACCTTGACTTATATTCAAGGTCACATGGGCCAAATTTGTTTAAAATCTTTAAACGACTTCTCTGAATAACCAAGAGGCCCAGAGTGTTGTTATTTGGCCAGTAGTATGCTTGGATAAAGGGCTATCAAGATTTTTCATTTGAATGACCTTGACCGACTTTCAAGGTCACGTCACATTTGGTAAAAAATTCTTAAACCTTTAAATGACCCAATCTCAATAAACAAAAGGTCTATGGTGGTGATAATTAGCAAGTTGCATGCTGAGAGGAAGGGCTATAAAGTTTGTTCAACATAAAGACCTTTGTTCAACTTTCAAGGTCACAGGGGTTAAATGTTTAGAAAAGTTTTAACAGGTTCTTTTGAATGACCTATAGTCATAAATACTGATATGTTGCTGTAGCTTTGTTTAAGATCACTTTTAAGGTAACAATTGAGATTAATACCAGGTGAGCAATGCAGGCCCATTGGACCTCTTGTTTCATTCTTAAATTGGACCTCACTCCCCAGTATACACAGAATTATGGCCTGTTGTCATTAATTTACACCAAAGTTTACACAGAGCAAATTAAAAGTTCCTTGCTATTTCACCTCTATGAATTCATCAAACTTCCCATCCTGATCTTTAGCGGTCACCTGAGTTATAAATATCATAGGTACTGGTAGCTTTATTTTATTGTTTAGATGGAAATCAGCATGTAAACTAAGTGAAATACAATAATACTGTCATGTCATCAATGGATAAGAATTTTAAAATATTGGTAGATGTTCCCTTTGAGGCCCCAACGTAGCCCCTGGGGATGAGGCAGGAATCCCAATTTTACAACGTAATACCCTCATTCACCAAAGACGATTCTGACTAAGTTTGAGTAATTTTCTGCTGAAAATAGATAAAATATACCCAAAAGTGTTATTTCCATATATAAACTATAGTAAACTTTACCCCCATCCCAAGGGGAAACGGATGGCTTGGGTGTCCTGAAATTGACAATTTCAATAAAGCTCCTGATGATCTTTCTATCCATGTACTGAAATTGACTGTAGTACCTCTGAGTCCGGAGAGGAAGGTTTTTGAAATATTGATTGATTTTCCCATTGGGGCCCCGCCTTGGCCCCAGGGGTTGGGGAAGGAATCTCAATTTTATAACTTGAAACCATCTTCCTCCAAGGATAATTCTCACCAAGTAAAAATAATTTCCTACAGAAAATAGTCAAAATATGTACCCAAAAGAGTTATTTCCCTATATATAAACTATAGTAAACCTTACCCCCTCTCCAAGGGAGAACGAGTAGCTCGGGGGTCCTGAAATTTACAATTTAAATAAAGCCCCTGATGATCTTTCTTTCCATGCAGAGAAAATGACAGTAGTACCTCTGAGTCTGGAGAAGAAGATTTTTGAAATATTGGTTAGTTTTCCCTTTGGGGCCCCGCCCTAGGAACTTGGGGTAGGAATCCCATTTTTTAACCTCATCTTCCAAGGATGATTCTGACCAAGTTTGAAAAATTTCCATCCACTGGTTCTTGAAAAGAAGTTAAAAATGTAAAATTTTTACGCACAACGGATGGAAAGCGATTAGAATAGGTCATTAGAGCAAAGCTCAGGTGACCTAAAATAATGTTTTAAAAGATCACACATTTCAAATGTAAATGCAGGAGAACACATTTGAAAGGAAAAGGATGAATTTATAACAGTATAACTATTGACCAACCCTTCGAAATAAATCGGGAGCACATCACGTCGCGCAACTTGGCCATTCCCGTGCACGTGTTGTCGATTGGCACCTAATATAAGCATCTGTCGAAGACATTCTGAACGGTTTGCTGCTCTAAAAACTGCATAACTGCGATGCTATTTAACTTTTCTCAATCACATGAAATTCTAAAATGCCTAACCATGAAATTACACAGATACGAAATAGGCCTATCGTTTGAAGTGATCTGAAAGGCCGAAAATAGGCACTTCGACATGATGTTTCAAGGCGATACTTATACTTTCTAATCAAGCATATCGGACGTATTTATGCTTGCTACGGTACTGGAAAAGGTAAATGAATAACATGTACACTAATTTAAATATGCTGAACCCATAAATTTGTTGAATGCGGTGTTAGAACGAGTTTATCAGATCAACTTATGGTGCCATCAAATGTACGTGTGCAAGATCAACTATGTGTGACTCGCTAATTATCAGACTGTTTTCTCAA